GGCCGCGAGGCTCGTGGCGATGGATGCGCCAGACCCGCTTTGCGCCGCCGCCCTCAACGCCCGATACTCGATCAGAGCCGGCGGAGCGACGGCGGCGGAGTTGCGGCCGCCGGCGACCTTCCCCCCTCGACCACGCCGCCGACCCGTCGACAAGCACGCGTGGACTGCCATCGAGATTCCATCGAGAAGAAGGAGAAGGAGGGCGGCGCATCCGGAGCCCGCGGGCGCGGCGTGGGCGGGCGCGGGCGGGCGCGCGGGAACCCCGCCAGCGGAGGCGACAATGCCTCTGGCGGCTCCGTGCAGGCGGCGCGCGGCGCGCCCCTCGCCGGTCTCCCGCACGCTCCTGAGGGCCGAGAGGGCCGAGAGGCGGGGTTGGTGACCCGGGGGCATGGGCGGTGCGGCCCGCGCCGCGCGCGGGCGCGTGGCAGCCCGTGAGTGCCGAGATCGGGTCTGTGCTTCGACGTAGCATGGGCCCCCGGAGGCCCATCTACAGCAGCGGCGAAGTGAGCGTGTTTGTGGTGTTGGTGTGACGTCTGAGCTTGGATCTGTGACTAAAGCCGCTTACCACTGATGGATCCCCACCCGAATAACACACAGTGAGCGCCCCAGCACTTCACTACGCCCTCCGCGCGAAATCGCTAGTGGTGCTTTGTGGCAGCACATTGTGCTTTGTGGCAGCACGGGTGCGGTGCCCGAGACCGTTCCCCCGGTTCGGCTCTACGTTCAGTACGTTCGGCGTGGCTCACCCTCCATGCCGTGAACAGGGCTGAAGAAAAATTGATTGAAAGAAAGAAAGAAAACATACAACCCAAGGGAGGGATGAAAAATTGATTGACGCAGAAAATTCTTGTTCGAAAATTCTTTTGTTGACGCCGCCAGGCGGCCGCGAAGGGCCGGCGCGAGGCTCGGCGCCACTGCATGCGCTCCGCACTCACCGCGCTGGCGTTTCTCGCGCTGCTCCTCCTCCTCGCGCTGCGCTACTACCCGACCGGTGGCGCGCCCGAGGCGTCGGCCTCCGGCGCCGTTCTGACGCCCCTCTGCGGGCGCGACGTGCTACGCTGCGCCTCTGGCCTCGACCCGCAGCCGTGGTTCGTCGTCTACGGCGACTCGGTGTCCCGCGGCCTCTTCTTCGACATCGCCGAGC